AGGGAAATTAGCTCTCTGTCAGTGAGTTGCAAATGGTTTTCTTCCAGTTTGATATTTGTCTTCTAAGTTTGTGGTAGCTTTAGTGATGCAGAAATTTTTATTGCATAGAATTATTTTTATGAATTTTGGACTTTGTGCTATATTTAGGCTTTCCCGACTCTTGAGATAATTTTCAATATTCTTCATGGTTTTCTCTAGTAATTTTCTGATTAACAAACATTTTTGATCATTACAAGTTTTAAATTTTATAGTGCATTGGATCAAGTTCCCTGTTTCAACTTATATCTAAGCTATATTACCAAATCATCCCATGGAAATATAGAATACTGGTAATAAGAAGGTTGGACTTTGTAGTTGATAATTGGAGTTTTTCTATTTCTGGGCTGTACGACCTATGACCTTGGGCATGCTACTTAATTAACCTCTCTGAGCCTCGATGGCTTCATCTGTAAAATGGAAATTATAAACAGTACTTAGTTTGTTGTGAAAATTGCATGAGATGATTCATTTAAAGCCCTTAGCATAATGCTTGACAAGCTGAAAGCATTCATTAAATGTAAACTATTACTGTGATAATGATGATGCCCATAGACTATTCTTTCAACCCTTACCATCCCACAATTCATTACTTTAGTCACAAGGGGCTGAATTTAAAAAATGCAAATCTGCTAACATTATCACTGTGCATTAATAACCCAGTCTCTTCTAAGCATTGTAGTTCTGAACCATGGCAGTACATTAGAATGGCAGGTGTAGAATTTTAAACTCCAGACGCTTGGGTCCTTATCCCGGAGACTGTTTTAATTGGCCTAGCAGGGGTCCTCAAACTTTTTAAAGTGGGGGCCAGATCACGGTCCCTCAGAGAGCTGGAGGGCCGGACTATATGAACTACTAATTCCTACTGTAACACCTCGGCTGCGCTCACTGCCCAAAAAACCTGGCGGGCCGGATCAGGCTCCTTTGCGGGCCGCATGTGGCCCGCGGGCCGTAGTTTGAAGACCCCTGCGTGGCCCAGACATTAGTATTTTTCAAAAACCCCTTTGGTGATTTCAGTGGTCATTTAAGTTCTAGAATCACTATCCTAACACTAGGCTAGTGATTTCAGATATGAAATGAAACATATTCATTGCTTCTAAAAACTAATATATCGAAATATTTTATAGTAAAATGCCATGAATTAGTTAGGAGGACATTAAAAAGAAAACATAGAAGATGCCGAAACCGGTTTGGCTCAGTGGATAGAGCGTCAGCCTACTGACTGAAAGGTCTCAGGGTTCGATTTCAGTCAAGGACACGTACCTTGGTTGAGGGCACTTCCCCATTAGGGGTGTGCAAGAGGCAGCTGATCGATGTTTCTCTCTCATCGATGTTTAGAAAAGAAAAGAAAACATAGAAGATCTGAGACAGGTATCAGAGATATGGAGGAAGAGAATTTCAAAGTTGGAGATATCTTAATTGGAAGAACTTAGGGCAGCTTTACTCTAAATACTTTAATAACTACCACTTAGAGGTAAGGAACACTAGGTGTTTATATTTGTTAAATGTGTTAACTGAAGAATTTAAGATTCTTACTACCCCTATTGTTTTCCTGAATAATTTTCAAAAATAAATTATTTCTGATCATGAGTAATATATCTTATCTCCTTGCACATTTTAAGGAGGATTTAAAAAATGGCATTTTAGCTCATTTATAGACACAGAGTAGGATACAGAAGAAAGTTAGGTGTTACTGAATCCAAAGAAAGAGTAGCATGGTCGAGAGACTGGATAAGGAATCAGGAGACCGAGATTCAAGTTCCCGAGCTTCAGTTACCCCAGCTACAAAATGAGAGAAGAGTTCCCAGAGATTTCTTTCAGCTGCCTCACCTCGTTAACTAAGTAAAGCCTTTCTTAATCAGTCAATAGAATACAGGAAAATTATTCTGGCCCACGCTTTTAAGAATTTATATTTCATAGTCTTGTTTTGTCTTTAGCAATGTAAGGCACTATATCTTCTCACATATTAAACTATGTCTTGATGATACTAGATTAATGCAGGCCCTACCTAACCAGTATATTTACATCTTACATTTAATCAGGGGCCATTGGTGTCTTCATCCAGGGGGGTGACTAATGGAGGGCTGGGGTGGGGGTGCATCTTGAGACTTGCCAGGATACGCTGGAACATGAGCTTTCTGTTGCCCTTCAATGCCTGCCCTGTGGGTGGCTTCCCAGGCCCCTTCTACATATTCTTCTAATCCTTTCTACTTCTCTTTTTGTATATTACTCATGATCGTTAGGATTCACAAAATCCTCGTGTTGGTTGTCTTTACATTGTCTTTTCCCTACAAGAGTGTACATTTTTTGAGGCGAGGATACATTTATATTATATTCCTTACATGAGGTAGTACAGTGTGTTGGCACATAAAAGGAGTCTGACAAATGTTTAATTGAATTAAGTTATTAAAAACTAATTCAATTTCATTTTTTCTCTTATCTTTTTGTGTGATACTGCACCTTTCATAATTTGCGTTATATTTCAAAAATGTTTACCCTGTCCTTTTACACAGTCTTATTTCACAACAGTGCCCTTTACTTTCTGAATACAGCAATGAGCTTTACACTCTCATAAGCCAAGAGTAATTATTGATAAAGCTAGGAATCATGATACCAAAATTAAAAAATAACATATTAGGTAAGCTTTTAATAGTAAATATGTAGGATAACTTAGTGTTACCTAAGCTATCAATTTGGTTGAATATTATAAACATATCAAAACTAAACTTTTTAATATGTTAATTATAAGTTACTAAACTTACATTATTCCGAGTCAATAATGAACATCTATGTATATTACATTAAGTATCACAAACCATTACAATAAATCATATGTATGTAACTCAGAATTGAGATATAATATTGAAATTTGAGTATGATAGTATTTTGATGAAGTAGAATAAAATGTTAATATTAAGTTATTATAAAAATTCCAATTGTTTAAAAATCTGTACTTAATACAATAAAATCAACATTTTTTTATCATGAATTTAACAGATTATCAAATAGTGAGATATAAGAAATATAAATACTATTTATTCAGAGAAAATTTCATGTTTTTAGCTTAGTAGTTAAGCTGGGATTTTGAATTGTGGGAATGTTTCAATAGTGGTTGAGAATTATCTACCCTCCTTGTCCGTCTTTTGAGTCTAACTTGTGGGCTCTTCAAATAAGTTTAAAAATGCTAACTCTTGAGATTTGGATATGTACATTTTCAGCTCCAATGTTCATGTGTACTTAAATGATGATCCCAAAGTGTTTCTACAACTATGATCATTTCATAGTATTGGTAATTCACCCTTTGTTAATTATTCTTCAGACTTACTGTCTTTTAGTTCTTTCATGTTAGCCAACAAATAAGCAACTATCAAGGGCAGTATTAAAAAAAAAAAAAGCATTTTAAAACAAAGCTGGCAAACATTTGGAGTTATCTGGAGTTTGAACAATCTTGTTTAATTCAAAAGTCTCGTGTTATATGCATTTAAATTCATTTTAGAAATGAATTTCACAGATATGGGGAAAAGTTCTTTGGTGGAAATTCCACCAGTAAATCCACGTTCTTTAAAACTCTTGAGTGATTGAATTAAACCTTGGCCATTTGCAAAATATCTTCACGGCGTATTCTAGATATTACTTCTTCAAGATGTGGGGTTTTTTTTTAGTTTTAAACAATTGGGGGTCCAAGGGAAAGATGACACTTTCTAACATACACTTTTTTTTTTTTTTGGTCTTTTCTTCTGCTAAATCATTGAATTGCCCTCTTAAGTATGAAAGACAACTGCTGTCAAGGGAGGTATTTCCTTCTCAAGATGGACGTTTACACAAGCAAAATATTGCTTTAGACGGAGAATCCTAATTTTGAAGAACATTATCAAAAACACTTTCTATTCCTCATTCCTCGTCCCATGTTTAAAAATACAAGTTAAATCTTAATTGTACTCTTTCTCCCATCGTGCGATCACCAGCGGCGGTGCCGGCGGGGTGAGGGAGCGGCTTCCCTCCGGTAGCGCCGTGGTTCGGGCGGCCCCGGCGCCTCCCCTCGGTCCCGGGCCGATAATCTCCAACATGGAGGAGGCGCCCGGCTCCTCACGCGGGGCCGTGCCATTAATTAATAAAGCGCTCTCCCAGGCTTTCCGCCGTCTCTTCCTGTGTCAGTGACAAGCTGTAGAAGTCACCGGGGAGCCAATAAAAAGGTAGAGGCGAGGAGCGCCAGGCTCCTCCCAGCGGCTCTTCCTCCTTCGCGGCCCCAAGTAGCGCAGGAACTTCCCGGGAGGCGGCGGCGGGAGCGGCGGGAGCGGCGGGGACGCGGTCGGTCCCGCGCGGAGCCAAGGCCGCGGCAGCGGACGCCCGGGCGGCGGGCGGCGGGCGGCGACCCCCGGGGCGGCCGGAGCCCCCGCTGGCGCCTCGGCAGCGGCGGAGGCGAGGTGTCAGCCGGCGTGCTCGCAGGTGAGGGCTCCGTGCGGGGCCCGGGAGCCGGCGGCGCGGCGGGCGCGCGGGGAGCGCGGGAACAAAGCGGGGAGGGGGCCGGGCCGCCCGTCGAGCTCCCCGCGGCGTCGGCCGGCTGCGCGCCGAGCACGTTGGGGCCGGCGGCGGCGGGCGGCGGGCGGCGGGCGGCGGGCGGCGGGCGGCGGGCGGGGAGCCGCGCGGGGGGGAGGGGGCTCCGCCGCTCCGGCACCGCCGCCTCCCGCCCTCCCGCGGCGGGGCGCCGGCCCCATTGTGAGCCGGCAACCGGCGTGCGGAGGGCGCGCTGGGAGGGCGCGGGCGGCGGCGGCTCCGCTGGCTCCTCGCCGGGGCGGCGACAGCGGCGACCTCGCCTCCGCCGGCAGCCGGCGCGTCGGTCGCACAAAAGGCGGCGGAGCTCCCGGCGCGCGGACGGCCCATGCCGTCGCCGCCCGCGCCCCGCTCACGGGCTCTCCTCTCCCCCCAGCTCGGATCGCGACGCGGGGCCGACGCGGGCGGCCGAACCCCCGGTGAGCCCGCGGCCGGACGGACATGCCGCTGCTCCACCGAAAGCCGTTTGTGAGGCAGAAGCCGCCTGCCGACCTGCGGGCCGACGAGGAAGTTTTCTACTGTAAAGTCACCAACGAGATCTTCCGCCACTACGAGTAAGGACCGAGCCGCGCGGGGTGCGGGGTGCGGGGCGCGGGGTGCGGGAAGGGGGTTCCCCCAGCACCAGCGTCCTTTTGTCTCCCCTTCTCCTCGCCCTACACTTCAGGCGGGGAGACCAAAGTGCCGGGGGCCCGGGCCGCACTTCTCGGTCCCCCGAGCCCGACCCGGTGACGCCGCGGGGGCCGGGCGGCCGGGCGGGCGGCGTGTCCGGGGCGGCGGGCGGCGGGGCCGGGCAGGCTGGGTCCGCGGCGGCCGTGCGGGGCGGCTGCGGGGCCGGGGCTGCCACCGGGCCGGGCGGCGGAAACTCCCCGCCTCGCCCCTCCCTCCCTCCCTCCTCCCCGCCGCGGCCACACGCGCTCCGCGGCCAGTTCCGGGATCCCCGCCCGGCGGCGAGGGGATCCCCGCCCGGGTCAGCGGCGCGAGCCGCGGCCCCCCGGCCCGGAGAGGGAATCCCCGCCCCGGGCACAGGAAACGGCCGCGCCGGGCGTCGTTTTCGGGGACCGGAGTGGAGTCTGACATTGGGACGCCGAGGGCAGGGGCGGGAGGGGGCGAGTTGAGAGGACTGTGAGGGGCTGGGGGGTTCGCGGGGGGGCCCGGGGCCGGACGGCCCCCCGGGGCCCCGGGAGCGGCGGGCTAGGCCTCGGAGCGGGCGACGCGAGCCCGACGCTCCGGCGCCGCCTCCGCTCGGTGACTAACGCCGGGCCCCGGGGGACGCGGCGTCTCCGCCCCGGGAGACGCGTGAGGAAGGAGTCGCGGCTGGGAGGGAGGGGGGAGCGGAGGAGGAGGAGGGAGCCAGGCCCTCGCGCCCCAGTTTTCACTTTCGCTCGGCCCCGCGTGCCGCCCGCCCGGAGAGTTAGGGGAGGCGGGGAGGCCAAGTTCAACAGCAGCCGGTCCCTCCGTCCCCGGCGCCCGGGGCCGCCTGACGCGTGCCGTTCGCTATTGTTTTGATAAGAATCCGGGGCTGCTGCTGCCGGTGCAGTCTCATCCCCCCCCTAAATGCTCAGTCCTGCTCCTGGTCTGTTTATCCCAAGAGATCCCCTTATCTTGTTACATCAGACAACCAAGTGCTTTAGAGATCTTTGTTTACCCACGGGGCCCCCGAGTGGGGATCTGGATTGATCGATCACGAAAACAGCCTAATTCTCCCCGTTGCTTACGCTTTAGCCTCTCCATTCAGAAGGAATCCTTTGTGGCTTAGAAACCCAAGTGTTACCGCAGCCAAATCAATGTGTGTAAGACGCACCTTTTCTGAGCGGGGGCTTGATGACCCACGTGCACCTGTCTGAGAAATGCGTGCCAAGGGAAGTCAGGGGAGTCGTTTCCTTGGAGCCCCTTTTCTTCAGCTCCACAGCAAGAATTACACATAAATGTGTTGGATCTAGAGACATTTTTCAGCAGGCAGTGCTTTTTAATAGGAGTGCACATCTCACTCTGCTCCTGTACAGACTTGTCTTTTACTTGTAACTATTTCAAGTGAACTTGGATTAGGTAACTTGACTAGGATGATGCCTCCTTTTTCAAAGTTTTAAGTTAAAATCCTTGGTAATGATTTCAGTATTTTTAAAAATTGTACTTAAGAATGACAACAAAATAGGAAAGGGGCTTAGATTTCAAACTTCTCTCCTTTGATATAAGCAATCTTACCTTTTTAAGAAGGTCTCACTTTATCAGGGAGACTCCATGTGGATGTTATCTTTTTAAATCAATCATTTCTCATATACTTTGGTTCTTGATAATTTACTCTTAATGGAGAAATTTGAAATGCCAAAATAAAGGAAGAGATTTTTGTTATTCCAAATGTAATTCGTAGCCTTATGACATTAAGTTTTTAAAAAAGCACACTAGTTTTTTGTTGTTTCCTCTGGGCTGATATGTTTGGGTTTTGGGAAGTTACAAGCAGATCAGGAGATGAAATTGGCTTGGGAGCAAAGATATTAAGTAATTTACCCTGAACAAAGCAGAACTACTGCTGTTCTTAGGAATTCATTTTTAGAACTCTGCATTGACAAAACTGGAATAATTTAATTGTGTTAAATTTTGGATTACTTTATCTTTTTCTTAAATGATTACAAAGAAATTTTTTCAAAAATACATTCACAGTGGATGGTATATAGTAATCTGACCTTTGGCTTGAGAAACTATGAAGGAAGCCTGTTTCACTCATTCATTAAATAACCAATTGGCTTGTGTGAATTTGTTTGAAGATTCCTTAAGTGCATTATCTTGAATTTGTTTTATTTTTATTTGTCCAGTATGCTCACCTATTTGCTCAGGTTTTGGATTTCTTGAATATAACTTCCTCTGTTTCAATTACTCTCTATTTCTACACTCGTTCATTCCTCAACACAATGTAAAATAAATTTTTCCTCTAACTCTGGTTATTAGAGATTGTTAGTGACTTTTTGAGTGCCAAATAGTTTTCTGTTCTTATCTTACTTGATATTATAGTCTAACACTTCCTCCTTCGACCTTCTAGGCAGCTATTGTCACCCCCTTCATTTTATCTAGTGTGGCATCTATTGTATTATAATGTATTTGTTGCTCACGTTTTCTCTTTACTTAGACCACATGTGTCAAACACAAGGCCCGTGGGCCAAATCCGTCCCGCCAGGCCTTGCAATGTGGCCCGCACTGCGCTGTCATCACTGCACTCCGCTGCGTTTCCATCACAATGACAGTTTATGACTGTTCAGTAAACCATTCGGCTCGTGATTTAGGCTGGATTTTAGATTTTGGCCCCTTCTCTGATTGAGTTCGACACCCCTAACTTAGACCCTGAATTCTTTGAGACAGAGACTATGACCAGGATACTAAATACTTATTGGTTATACAATGAAACTGCTTTATGTTGTTTGTTTGAACTATGTATTTAATCACTAATCCTTGTTTGACTTGCTTTCCATAGTAAAGAAGACTTGTTAAAAATAGCATTGTCTTGGTTGGTTGCTCAGTGGTTAGAGCATTAGCCCGAGGGTCTTGGGTTCATTCATGTACCTCGGTTGCAGACTCAGTCCCCAGTTGGGACACATGTAGAAGGCAGCTAATTGATGTGTCACTCTCACATTGATGTTTTTCTCTGTCTCTCCTCCCTTTCACTCTCAAAATCAATGGAAAAAATACCCTCAGTAAAGATGAACAAAAAAAGTAGCACACTAACCATAGGTAAATGCATAAGCTAACATGCAAAAGAATGAAATGGAACCACTATTTTGCAATATACAGGAAAATTAACTGAAAATGGATTAAAGACTTGAACATAAAAACTGAAGCCATAAAACTCCTAGATAAAAACGTAGTTGGTAAGTTCCTTGACATCAGTCTTAAGGATAATTTTTTAAATCTGACATCAAAAGCACAAATAAGAAAAGGAAAAATAAAACAGTGGATCTACATCAAACTAAAAAGCTTCTGCACAGCAAAGGTAACCATCAACAAAATGAAAAGGCAAGCCTTAGCCAGTTTTGTTCAGTGGATAGAGCGTTGGCCTGCCGACTGAAGAGTCGCAGGTTCAATTCCAGTCCAGGACACATGCCTGGGTTGCAGGCTCAGTCTAACGTGCAAGAGGCAGCCAATCAATGATTCCCTCTTGACATTGATGTTTCTATCTCTCTTCCTCTTCTTTCCTCTCAAATAAATAAAAATATATTTTAAAAAATGAAAAGGCAACCTACTGAATGGGAGAAAGTATTTGAAAGTCATATATCTGATAGCAGCTAATATTCAAAATACATAAAGAACTCATACAACTCAGTAACAAAAAACCATACAACCTGATTTAAAAATGGACATAAGATCCAAATAACCAGTGAGCAACAAGTAATGAAGAGATACTCTACATCAGGAAAATGCAATCAGAACCTTAATGATTATCACCTAACACCTGTTAGAATACCTATTATCAAAAAGACTAGAATAACAACTGTTAGAGAAAGGGAGCCTTGTGCCCTCTTGGTGGGAATGTCATGGAAAACTACCATATATTGTATATGGTCTAGCAGTTCCATTTCTAAGTATTTATGCAAAGAAAATGAAAACATTAATTTGAAAAAAATAAGCTTCCCCATGTCCATTGAAGTATTTACAATAACCTGGATATGCAGACAACCAAATTATCCATTGATGATGTACTGGGATGGCTTTTCTCACCATGTGGTCTTTCATCCTCAGAAGGCTAATCTGGGCTTCTTCATTTGCTGATCTCATGTTCCAAAAGAGTGAGAGCAGAAGTCTCTCAATGCCATTTCTGTATTGTGTTGGTCAAAGTCAATATTAAGGCCAGCCCAGATTTAAAGATTGGTAAAACAGACTCTACCTCTTGTAAAAAGAATGTCCGGGTCATATTTCTAAGAAGCCGGCACACCTTCAGCCCTCTTTACAAACAGTGTAAGCAGTTGATAGGATTTTATGTTTAGGTCATCCTGATTAGATTTTGGGTGTTTCCTGATAGTTCCTCTTCCTAGCCCCTTTCCCAGGGCCAAACTTTCTCTTCAAAGATTCTTAAGTTTTTTATGTGTTCCTTTGACATTGTTCCTCTATTACACTGGTTACTAGAGGCCTGGTGCAGGCAGTATGTACACCAGCACAGTTCCTAGGCCTGTCTGGCAATCGAAGTGTGAGTGTCTGGAAGGCCAGGTCCCAGCTGACCTCTGGGCCCTGGGCAGCACCTGGGCCCCCTGGTGTCCCTTTACCAGAGTCATCGGGCCCCCATCCAGCTCCCTCAGTGCCTGAGAGCCGGGTGGAGGCCTCCCTCCTTCCTCTCCCCCCCCCACCCCGCCACCACCACAGGTCGCCACCTGTGGAGCGGGGTGATCAGGCCCCACTCACACCTGCCTGTCACCACCTGTTCACCTGCTCCACCATCCCACCCCAGCCCCACTCTCATCAGGGCCCATTGGGGCCAGCAGTGCCTCCACTGACCCCCACTGCTAGCACCACATCACCAACACCCACCATATCTGCACCGCCTCCTGGTGGTCAGCACATGTCATAGCAAGCGGCTGAGCTCCTGGTCAAGTGGACAATTTGCATATTAGGCTTTTATTATATAGGACTAGGGGCCTAGTGCATGAATTGGTGCACCTTGAAAGGAACTGTGGGCTGCAAGGCTGAGGTAGTCACAGGGGCAGGTCTCAGCCCATCCTCTGTCGCAGCCCGGCCCCTCCCACCATGGCCCCCAGCCCCCAGTCTGCCAGCAGCCTCACTCGTGCCACAGCTGCTCCCATGCACTGATGGCACTAGCCCTACTCACACCACTGACAGCACAGAGGATTGGGGCTGGTGCCCTCAGCGGGTGCAAGCAGCAGCTACCAGCCGAAATCGCCCCTCAAGAGCAGGGGGAAGTGGAGAAGCCCTCAGGGGCGATCGGGGCTGGCAACTGCTGCTCACACCTGCTGACGGTGCCAAGCAGTCAGGACCAGCGCTGGGCACCGACAGCGGGTGTGAGCAGGGCCGTCACTGGCAATGGGTGTGAGAGGTGGCTTTGGCTTCGGGCCCCTTCAGAAGCCGGGGGAGGTGGAGAAGCCTGTGGCAGCAGGTATGAGCACCCAGCAGGACTACGGCACATGGGAGCAAAGAATTTTCAGTAACCACCAGAGGCTCACCCCTATGACTGTGACCGATGCCCCACCTTGGCCTGGCGCTGCCCCACCTGCTCCACCATCCCGCCACAGTCAACACCCGCCATGTTCCACACATGCCCCCTGGTGGTCAGCGCACGTAATAGCAACCGGCTCTGTTCTGCTGTTCGGTCTATTTGTATATTAGGGTTTTATATATATAGATAAATTCTCCTATGTATTCTGGAATCTCTCTGCAAATATGGTACCTGAACAATAAGAAATTGATACTGATTGCAAGCAACACTCTGTGGCAGATGATGGACACTGTCTGACACAATTTGAGCTTGCTATAGCAACAAAGTCTAACCTATTCCGGTGCTCTCCTCTATGAGATGAGCCGTTATATAGACTTAAACAGTGTTAAAAAAAAAATTAAAAAAAAATTAAAAAAAGAAATTGATACTGAGTGTGCATATAATATGCATATAGTACATGTAGTATTATATATTACCTTATTTTTCATATTGACTGTTCATGGAAGATATTATCCTCATTTTACAGGAGGAGAACCAGGGTTAGTAAGTTGTATAACTTATCCAAATTCACATTCTACAAGTGGTAAAGCTGAGATTCAAATACTTTCCTCTCTCCTTTCCATTCATGTATACTTTCTCTGTCTAAATACACAAAAACAAATGACTGCCAAAGAAAATACATTTGTCTATTCTTTTTTTAAAACTTAATTGTATTTTTTCCATCACCATTTATCCCCTCTATGCCTTCTTCCACCTCCACCCCCTTCCCACCTCCACAGTCACCATACTTGTCCATGTCCATGAGTTCTTTCTCTTTTTTTTCTTTTTTGCTCAATCCATCCAGCCTCCCCTGAACACCACCACCCACACCAGAGCTATCTGCCTGCTTTCTATCTATAAGTCTGTCTCTATTCTGTTTGGTAGTTCAGTTTGTTCATTAAATTCCATATATGACTGAAACCATATGGTACTTGTCTTTCTCTGCATTTGTTTATTCTTTAAAAAAAAATATATATATATATATATTATTGATTTCAGAGAGGAAGGAGAAGGGAGAGAGAGATAGAAACATTAATGATGAGAGAGAATCATTGATCAGCTGCCTTCTGCATGCCTCCTACTGAGGATTGAGCCTGCAACCTGGGCATATGCCCTTGATCAGAATCGAACCCAGGACCCTTCAGTCCTCAGGCCAACACTCTACCCACTGAGCAAAACTGGCTAGGACCATTTATTTATTCTTGATAATATACTTGATGAGTTTTTGGAGATACTGAGATAATTTTTCCGTGCAGTGAGAAATGAATGTATGTCTATAACACGTTGGCATAAATCACATATGTGTTATGGGAGTCGGTGTAATGGTGTATAGAAAATTGAGCTGATAACTGCTATGAATTTGAGGAGACCCCCAAAATGGAGATATCACAGTTGGGTCATGAGAGATGAAGCTGTCAAGACACAGAATGAGGAAAAGGGCATTCTAGGCAGAGAATGCTCTAAAGAATACTTTTTAAACACAGAAAATGATATAAGGCACAGAAATGTGAATTTGTAGTTTGGTTGAAATTTGCCTTTTTCATATTCATTATTGTTAAGCCAAGACATTTATTAAGCTTCTATAAAGTTCCACTAGTTGATTTTTATGTAAGTTTTTAGTCTGTAGATTTTAAAAATCTGCATTGCTAATCCTCACGTTAGTGTCCATTTGCAGATTTTAAAAGCCTGCCTTGTATGTTATCATTAACTAAGTCTGTCTAATAACACTAAGTGCAAAAGTAATCTTTCATTAAAGTTTTTTTTTTAAACTAAGCTTTATATTTTTAATTAGTCCTACTTTTCCCCTGACCATTCATAGTAAGTGTAATAAATATAATTTTCAGCCCAGCGTGCATGATTCAGTGGTTGAGTGTGGACTTGTGGACCTGTGAACCAAGCGGTCACGGTTTGATTTTGGTCAGGGCATGGGGTTGGTCCCCAGTGCGGGGTGTGTAGGAGGTAGTCAATCAATGATTATCTCTCATCATTGATGTTTCTATCTCCCTCTCCATTCCTCTCTGAAATCAATTTAAAAAAAATATTTTTTTTAAGTAAATTAATTTTCCTCCATCTGGGATTTCTCTATATTGTGAAGGCATGTGAAATCTACCATCCCCAGGATTGTCTGATCTGTTTTTGTAACTCTGTGAGTAAAGGAAATTGTTAGAACAACATATGCTGTCTTCTAGCAATTACTATTTTTCTAGGTTTAGAAGCCAAACTTTCTTGTCTGGCTGTACCATATGCTGTGTAAGTCAGGAATTATGTTAATTTTTATCCTATGGCTGCATTTCTCAGTTATACTAATTATTTTGTGGATAGGGGAGTTTATGTACCTTGGATCTTTTCTGCATTCTTGTCCAGATACCTAGCAATTTAACAGATTGTTGCTCTTTGTTCCTTAGTTTGTTCACCAGAGAGTTAGTTGATTTTATATTAGAGATCTGTTCTTGCCAGTAATGGACCTGGTAACTCAGAAACAATTTTTTGTTAAGAAGTAATGGTAAAGAGCACAGGTCATCAAACTTTTTCTTAAAGGGTCAGATAATCAATATTTTAGGATTTGCAGGCCAGAAGGTGTCTGTTGCACCTACTCAACTCTCAGATTATATGTGAGAAAGCATTCAGATAACACCTGAAGGTGTGAGTGTGGTTGTGTTCCAGTAGAAATGCAAAAACAGGTGGATGGCTAGATTTGGCCTCTTGGCCAATTATATGCCAATTTCTGGTAAAGAAGATTGTTGAAGGAATGTAGTAATAAGTTAGAGAAATAATAATCTATTCTAACCTTAAGATATATTTGTATCAAACTGTACTTTGTATTTTATAAATTTTTGCTCACAATAGTAAAATGTGTTTCTTGTGAAAGTTTCATTTTATAATACAGAAATTGAGCAGGCACTGTAACCTACCTCCTAGAGTTTAGTACTATTAACAAAATCCTACAAATTTGCATGTGAATGATGAATGCGTGAAGAGCAGAATTGCAGAATTGGGAGATAGTGAAGGTACTTAATATTAGAGACGGGCCTTGCTGATAGGGGGTGATGAATAGAATTTTTTTAAGGAAATGCCCATATTAAAAAATTCCAATGTGTGGAAAAAGATTGAGTAGAATGGTCACCTAGTTCCATGCCTGTTACCTTGGTTTTTGTATATGATTTCAGAAATATATTATGCTTTTTAAGGTTCTCTTTCTTTTTCTTTCTTTTTTTTCCTTTTTCTTTTATTTTAATACAAATGGGACCATATTGTTATAGAAAAACCTGGACATTTCCCCCCTATTAACAAATTATTTGAGAACTGTTCTTATACTGTGTAATGACTATGTTTTTCAGCATATGAAGTACTATAATTTACTTAACCTTTCTCTGATTGTTAGATGCTTACATTTCAGGTTTTCACTATTATGTTAAAGTCTTTTACATTCATAATTAAGCCCTAGCTGGTTTGAATCAGTGGATAGAACATCAGCCTGCGGACTGAAGGGTCCCAGGTTCCATCCTGTCAAGGGCACGTGCTCGGGTTGTGGGCTTGATCCCCCAGTAAGGAGCGTGTAGAGAATCAATAATTCTCTCTCATCATTGATGTTTCTATCTGTCTCTCCCTCTCCCTTCCTCACTGAAATCAGTAAAAATATATTTAAAAATTTATAGTTAAAAAGTAAATAAAATTTATTGTTAAGTGCTTGAATTGACTCCAATGTTTGGATTGCTTTGGAGCAAAAGCTTAAAATTAGAAGAATGAAAAGGAAAGGTTGAGTTTATTTTCAGTTGCCATTCCAGTTTCAAAAACTAATGGAAATCAAAGTCCAATTTTAGCTGAATGTACTTTTAAATTGCAAAATATAAATATCTAGTTTATTATACTTTTCCTCAGGTTTGTATTAATGTGTAAGCTGACCAGTTACTAAATCCTTGTTTGAGTTTTATGATTCTATGTAAATTTTTGCAATAGAGACACAATTATTTATTAGCTTTTAATGTAAAATTTGTGAAATGATAGGTAATAGATTTTTATTTTTGTTTTTTAATCAGTGACTTTTTTGAACGAACCATCCTGTGCAACAGTCTTGTGTGGAGTTGTGCTGTGACGGGTAGACCTGGACTGACCTATCAGGAAGCACTTGAGTCAGAAAAAAGAGCAAGACAGAATCTTCAGAGTTTTCCAGAACCACTAATTATTCCAGTTTTATACTTGACCAACCTTACCCATCGTTCACGCTTACATGAAATTTGTGATGATATTTTTGCATATGTCAAGGATCGATATTTTGTCAGAGAAACTGTGGAAGTCATTAGGAACAATGGTGCAAGGTAAAGTACTTTTTATCTTTTCTTTTATCTGCAGATACCCCCATTGCTTAAAATCCAGGATTCACAAAAGGCTGAAATGAAGAAAGCTTCCCTTTTCCTATCCTCCAGCTACCCTGTTACCCTCCCCAGAGTTCTAGTGTTAGTTTCTTAGGGATTTTTCTAAAGCTGATATTTTTATAGACCACCAAAAACGCGCACATGCACACACATACACAATCTTCTGCTCACTTTAATATAAAAGGTAAACACACTGTACTATACCTTTTTTCACTTAAAATATCTTGAAGGTCGGTTCATAGTTTTATAAATTGCCTGCCTTCTCTTTTCTTATTTACTGTATAATAAATTCCATTATGTGGAAGTTTCATCTTTATTTAAGAGTAAAAATCTTTAGATGAAGATATCTACTGTGTCCTCATTATGTTACCTGATAGTTTAATATGCCTGTTTTTCATGATGATTTTAGTGGTCCCTTTGATGAGGACTGAGTTTTGTGTACTTCACTAAGTTCTCTTCTCTTTTACCCAGGTCTTTAGGGAAAAAAGTGGATTTTTCATATATGAAAATTTAAAATGACATTATCTATGGTACTAAATTAAAAATTATCACTGCTTTTCTGAAGTCTTAAACATTTATGATTGAATAGTCACGGATATTCATCATAATCACCTTTATTTGCATTAAAACCTAGTATAGCCTTCTTTGCTTTTGGGGCAGAGTCTATAAAATGCTTTTTGGTTCCTTTTTACTATCTCTTTATTGGCCTGAATGCAGATGTTTTTTCTTTCTGGATTTTAATGATTTTTAAAAATATATATTTTATTGATTTTTTACAGAGAGGAAGGGAGAGGGATAGAAAGTTAGAAACATTGATGAAAGAATCATCATTCAGCTGCCTCTTGCACACCTCCTACTGGGGATGTGCCCACAACCAAGGTATATGCCCTTGACCAGAATCGAACCCGGGACCCTTCAATCTGCAGGCCGACGCTCTATCCACTTAGCCAAAACGGTTTCGGCTTTCTGAATTTTAAATGTTAGCAATTAAAAGTTTCTTTATTATGTTCTTCATTTTATTTTGGAGAATTATCGTGAATTTATATGTAATTTCAGAATTATGTCTTAAAATATAATCCATTTAGTTATTAAATGCTATTATGAATAAATCTTAAAAAGCCAAGAGGTTTTTATATTAAGATCTAAATTTGTTTGGATTTTATATTGATGAATAATTGGGTACTTTTTAAAATTAATTGTAGAATCAACAAATGGTAAAAATTAAAGAATTTTTTGTGTCTAGAAAAAGTTTTATCTTTAGCCCTAGCTGGTTTGGCTCAGTGATACAGTGTCAGCCTGTGGACTAAAGGGTCCCAGGTTCAATTCCAGTCAAAGGCACATGCCCAGGTTGCAGGCTCGATCCCCAGTAGGGGGTGTCATCACTGATGTTTCTCTTTCTTCCTCTCCCTTCCTCTCTGAAATCAATAATAATAATTTTTAAAAAGTTATATCTTTTATTTTGGGGGGAGAGATTAACATGTCACCAGTGATCTCATCAAGAATATACCCTTTTTAAAAAGAGATCAAATTATACATAATGTTTTGGCGTATGTTTTATGGTTTTTGGTGATATACTTAGAAAACAGATTTTTGTGTTCAATCTATATCACCAAAAGAAAAAATAAGATCATTTCTGGGGAGAGCGGTTTTTTCCTTCTTAAAGTTACTGTTTTTATTTGACTTATGCCAGAAATGTTTTCTGAATTACAAATCATTGAGATGCATTAAACTTTAACATTAGGAATATAGCTCACATCTAAAATGTATTGGTTCATTGTGTTTTATATAGTTTTTTTGGAATACTTTAAAAATGGACTTTCAGGTATTTATAGCTGTTAACAGTAGTATACTAGGTTATGTTGTAGAAATAGGAAATTTGGGAGTCACAATTATCAGGAAACTTACCTCTTCTTGCTTAAGAAGGCTTTAAATTATAAAGTATAAGAAATTAGTAATTTTTGCAAACTTTTAAGGCTTAATTTTCATAATACACATTGACCATTCTTAATCTTTATGTAGGCAAGGAGAAACTGTGGAAGACTCCTTACTTTCTGCCTTTAGCAGGAGGCTTAGGAAGTAATATGAGTCTAGCCAACTTTGCTCTCAGCTCAGGCTCAGATATTTCTGATTGCTCTGATATTGTGTTTCACATGTTGCTTAGTGATTGTAAGTATCACTTATAGGCTAGACACTGGTTTGGTACTGGGGATACAATAAGGATCAAGATGCCCTTTAAGATTCAGTTAAGAAAGAGACAAACATTTCAACTTGGCAAGTATTAAAATTAATGAACGAATGAAGTAATCAGGAGCATCCAGGTCCAGAATGCCATAAAGGCTAGGCCTGGGTTCTCTGCTCTCATGCTAACACTAGATATTTTAGTTTTTTAGTCTTTGCCAGATCTGATGATATCTCAGTGTTTGTTTGTTTGTTTGTTCAGGTTCTTTGTCCATTTTTCTTTTGGTTTGTTTGTCTTTAGTAGATTTCTGAGAGCTATTTATTAAATACTAGGCATATTATACCTCTCTCTTACTGTTGGAAATATTTTTCTATTTCACTTTTTGTTTTTTCTTAAAGATGTAGTTAATGTAAATTTTTAAAAATGTGGATGAACAATATAATTAAGGAATAAAGAATAAACGTGCAATCAATAGTCATGCTTTTACCACTTGACTTTAATAGGATATTTTATCTTTGATTTTTGTTTATAGTTTGGGAAAAGTTATAAATTTCTAATTTTATGGGAGGCAGAATAGTGAAGGATCTAGGCTTTGGAGTCAGACTGCCTTTTTGAACAATGCCATCCTTTCAGGTTATTATGAGACTATGTTGGGGGGGTACACATTTTGAATTGCTACATAAATAGAATATAGTAATAGCATTTTACCATGGGGGTGGGGTGGGATGATAAGGCTACTATTAGCCAAATAGGCTTATATGGAAGTTAATATTTTTCTTCTATTACTCACCAGTTTTTCTATTAAAAATTAAATTTGTTGTTATTATTAAGCTTCAAGCCTGACTTAAAATTTCTGCTACTTTAAATCCTAAGTTTCTGAGTACACCCTTTCCTTTTACCCTTTTCACTTAAATCTGAGTTAAAATAATTTTAATATATAAACTTGCCTAGTGACTAGATTTCCTTTTGGTTGTAATTGTGCCTACACCACCTACTTAACACCTGCATAACATTTGGGAAAATATTTAACATCACTCATCTCTCCTTTGCATACTTAGTAGAATTGTTGTGAAGATTAACTAAGATGCTGTATGTGAAGTGCCAGGCACATAAGAAGTACTCAATAAATAAGTTAAGAAGTCAGTCTTTTTCCATTTTGATTTTTAAGTTTCCTGTCATGCTTATTAACTCTTATTCTAATTGTAGTTTCTGGGATTTCTGTTTGGGTTTTTGTTTTTATAAATTAGATTATAGGGTGGTAGTCTAAATTGTTTAGGTAGCCAAGGGCCTTATTAAATCAGTGACCATTCCTATGTTTCTGGCACCTTGTAATAGTGCTGTTCTGTCCTGTGGGGACAGCTTTTAAGATGACTCTTGTAATGTGTTCTCTTGCTTCCGCATTTAGTGGTGAGAGTGTCTGTCCCCTTTAATAAAACATAGTCAATAGTCTTGATTTCATTATTATATAGAGGCCCAGAGCACGGAATTTGTGCACTGAGGGTGGGAGGAGCCCTTAGCCAGGCCTGCGCCCTCTCCCAGTCCAGGGCTCTTGAGCGCAAGACCCCTTGCTCCTTATCGCCTGCCTGCAGCAGAGGAGGGAAAGGCTCCCGCCACTGCACTGTGCTCGCCAGCCATGAGCCCGGCTTCTGGCAGAGTGGTGCTCCCCCTGTGGGAGCACACTGACCACCAGGAGGCAGCCATTGTGTGGAGCATCTGTCCCCAGGTGGTCAGTGCTCGACATAGTGACCAGTCATTCCGCTGTTCGGTCAATTTGCATATTAGGGTTTTATTATATAGGATATGATTAGTGGCTTCCCTTGCTGTTTTCCATGGAAATGTTTTAAGGGATAATATATTAGGTATAGGCCTTCTTTTTTTTAAAAATATATTTTATTGATTTTATACAGAGAGGAAGGGAGAGAGATAGAGAGTTAGAAACATCAATGAGAGAGAGTCATCGATCAGCTGCCTCTTGCACACCCTTTACTGAGGATATACCCGCAACCAAGGTACATGCCCTTGACCGGAATCGAACCCGGGACCCTTCAGTCCCCAAGCTGACGCTCTATCCATTGAGCTAAACCGGTCCTGGCAGGTACAGGCCTTCTTAAATCTTCAAGGTGCTGCAACCCAGTAAAATAAAGATCTTTGTAAATTAATATTAGAAAAGGGGGAAAACCACCTCCTATTCGATTACATTAATATGGGGAAATGCATGGGCATGATGTTTTTCATTTGGACTGTGTTCTAGACCCACAAGAAGACATGTCACTTCTGGCTTCACATTTACTTTGAAGTTAATGTAAAGTTGGTGTAACATTTGGTATTGAGTTCAATTTTGAGATATGATAGAAGTGGTAAGATCTTGGCATTCTCAAAGAGGGGGTAGGGTAAATCCAACTTCTGTGATGAGAGAAAATCCAGGTTGAATTTTCTAAGTATTCTGTTATTTTTCCATTCTCACCTGAGGACACATTTATTGATTTGAGAGAGAGAGAGAAACATCGATCAGCTGCCTACCATTCATGCCTTGACCGGGCACTGACCCTGCAGCCCAGGTATTAGCCCTGATTTAGAAATAAAACCGCAGCCTTTTGGTGTATGAAACCACTCTCCAACCAACTGAGCAAGGCATTCCTGTTGATTTTTATTTGTAGATTTCTTTGGCCTTCCTTCCTTGCTGTGGCATGAGGTTTATTGGTAGGGGGCTTATTTAAAGAAATAAACGAATTTCTCCCAGTAACTGAGAAATAGCAGGCATTTA